TTGGTCTCATCGTTTACTTTTAATGTTGATGAGCCACATCTGAACTTGGGTAGTCCTTCTGCTTATGTTTAGGAGCATGTGTGTATACCTAAGTCCTTCATAATCATTAGATGTTTCTTCAGTCCAAATTGTAACTTGGAGCAAGCTTTGTTACAGAGTGAATTATTTTCTCTGCATCTTTGTAATGGCTAATTATGTGTAGTAGGAATATTATTGAAGGTCATATAACAATTTCAGAGTGGAAGTAGTGCAGTCACTCACAGAATATTCTCAATTTCTTTCTGCTACTTTAAACACAAAAGATGATGTATCATAGTCTGATTTACTGATACTTCTTTATAGTCTGCATATTTTTGAAACATAAAAATGTACTACTCAGCTGCCTGTTACTGATTCAAAAAACAAGGTAAATTATTTCCTCTAAATTCACCCACAGTATGATTATTTTTAGCAACAAGTCTGATGAACATACCGGTACGGTATCATCTCACCAAAACAAATTGTCTAATGGTAGCAGAAGACAGGTCCTTTTATCAGACAGAGACTAAGACAGCATTGCTTCTGAGTCTGATATTCAGAAGGATCAGCTTGCTTATCACTAACCAGTCTTTCTTATTTTAAAAACCAAACACAAAACCTTAAAGTTTAACTATTTTCCCTGTGACTTCTGTTTGCTAGGTTCCACTTTTAGGTATGTTGCCTCTACCCCACACAGGCAGTTTTTACTTGAGCAAGATGGATATAATAGGGGAGAAATGCTGCTGGCCGAGATGGTGAATCATACTGACCAGCAGCAAAAGACAACAAACATTAACACTTTTTTCCTCCCCCCTCAATTATGTCAAATGGTTACATTCTGAGACCAATACACCAAATGTTTTACTGTACTCCAGCAGTTATAGGCTGTGTTTTGTGACCCACAAAACATTGGTTTACCAGTATAACATCAAAGAGAACAAGAATGCATATATGTTAACTAAATACGTGTATAAGTAAATTGAATTAATATTTCCTGTGCTAAGTTTTGTACAGTGTAAGATGCTATCTATTTACAGTCCATGACATCAGACAACAGCCAGAGAAATATATATGTAATACTTGTGCATAACACACTCATGAACATGTACCGGTATTGCTATTTCTTTATAAAAATACAGACAGGCAGAAATATTGTCTGATGCCTTATGCCAACAACCAGTGGGCTCCTTGGGTGCCCCAGCATAATCAGCAGCATACCATAGCAAAGGCAGCACAGGGCACTTGGCCCCTGTCGTGTATTGAAACATTTTACACCCTCTGCTACAGCTTTATCTAATTACAGGCTAAGTTAACTTCAAGATCTCTAAACCCTTCCAAGTCACTGCACCTAGTACTCCATTACTGCAGGAATTGCATACCGTAATCTCTTTCACCAGTTAATAAACTACATCTCTAAAGCATCAGTGTTTTTGCTATGAAGTGGAAGAGTGTTCAAGAACCTCAGTGCCCTAATGGCTAGATACCATCTCCTAATTTCCAGTTGAAATTTCTCAATGGCCAGTTAACACACATTTGTTCTTGTGCCAGTGTTGTCCATTAGTGCAGATATTCACTTAGGATAGCAGAAGGCCATCTCCTTGATGTATTTATAGCCCAGTGACATCCCCTTTCTTCAGTTTCCTAGACTGAACAAGCCAAATTATCTTAGTCTTCACTTACTGAATAGGCTCTCTACTTCTCTGATCATCCTAATAACCTTTCCTGCATTCATTCTGGACTCATAAACTCAGAGATGAGTGATCAGACTTACACAAGCTTTCTACGCAAAGCATAGCTGTGCCTTCTATAATGATATTGATACATTTCTAATTTCTTCTTCTTTCTGTGTAAAACCAAGCATTGCTTGTGATTAAAGACTAAAAGGCACTAGCATTCTCTGTTTAATGAAGGGGGTTTTAGAAAGCAGCTGTCATGCCAGCTGCATTTCAGATGGCTGCAGTAAGCGTGCTTTCTATTCAGTACGCATTTCAGAATTTTCAAGATCTTTTCTGGACCAATTGTTTTTCACCTCAGAATATAAAAATGGGTTAATGCTTACCTCAGAAGTACAGTAGAAGTAGCTCTTCAATAACACCCCTCTTCTTTCCTTTTCTTCTCTGTTGATCGTTTTAGGAGGTGCTGGCCAAAATTGTCAAACTAGAGATTCATTTGGTCTTGAAATAAAACAGTCTGGTTCCCAAGGTGCCTATCAGTTACAGTACCCCAAGTTTAGTAGTATTTCTGAATACTCATGATTTATGTAATAACAAAGTTTTAATTTTACTTACAATTGTGGATTTAAGCATGATGAAGTTTGACAATTTTGTCCCCTATATTTAATATTTTTAATATGAGGAAGTTTTTCCCATGTCTTGATTTATACTCATCTCAAATATGCAAAAAGATGTGCATTTCTATCAGCGGAAACTGAGCCTCCAGTACCCTTGAAAGGTTTACAACTGCAAATGCTTCAGTTCCATCAGGTCTGCCAAAAACAGCCAGCCTTCGACTTCATGCCATGGTTGTTGGGTCATGCTAACCTGCCTGAAACAAACTTCACTTTCATTGCAGATAAACATCTGCTGTTGTCCATTTTACATTGATTAACATGTATGTGCCATTCATTCATACTTCTCTTCATGGTTCATTTTTACTAAGCATGTAATGTGCTATTACTCTGCTGCTGTATACATTTTGTATACATTTCTGTTCTTCCTTGAAAGACTGTGAATGCTTCGGGCACTCCAACCGGTGCAGTTACATCGAGCTGCTCAATACGGTCATTTGCGTGAGCTGTAAGCACAACACTAGAGGTCAGCACTGTGAGTTATGCAGGCTGGGCTTCTTCAGAAATGCTTCTGCAGAGCTGGACGATGAAAATGTGTGCATAGGTCAGTCCCGGGATAACTGCGGCTTTTCTTCTGTGCCTTTTCAGCTACTGGCAGCTGCTAGGGACCACTGCTGCTTACTTGTCAGTTGAGCCAGAATGAGCTTTTTCAATGGATAAGAACATCTGTGTAGACTTTTTGCTTCATTGCCCTTGCCCCTGTAGCCCCAAGGAGGTATTTGGAATCTGTAAATGACAATGAACTTCCCTGGCTAAGGGTCCTGCAAAGACTTTTCCAGGAAGCCCCTGAGAAACTGATTGTGCTGTCCTTCTGCAGCAGGGAGCCACGCTGGAGTTGCGCATGTGAAAACTGAAGGGTTGAGTCATAAATACCTGTTACCAGTCTAACTTTTGGAATTATTAGTACAGACTCTTTAATACTTGCCTGGAGACCTACAAAAGTTGCTAGCTGCATCAATAGGACATGGGGGGTGGTGTTTATTAACCCCTTTTATTCCCTTAAATTTCTTAAAAACATGTTGCTGCTAATTCTGCTCCCGAAGCATGGGGCTGTAAATGCAGTGTTACCTCCCCTCTCAAGAGGAGAAACCGAAATTATGCCCGTGTGGTTAGGAGCAGAATTTGTCAAATCAGTTTGGCGTTATGTCAATTTAGAAAAGGGATTCTTAGGGGGAAACAGTGCTTTAGATGTAGCATCTGCTATAAATAGCCAAAGTGCAGAATTAAAGAAAATGTCAGAACATAATTTAAAAATCTTATTATGAAAAAAAAAAAGTAAGATCTTTATCACGCTAGAATAATATGCATTGTTCTTGTCACCACAGAAAGTATATAGCAAAAGTTAGGACACTTTAGGTAAAGATTGAACGTAGTCAATAAAGGAAGCCTCATACAATGGCCAGTAGTTAACAGGTAGCCACAAAAGGCACTGTTCTAATAAGAAACAGAAGTGGATAATTTATTATAGACATTGTTAGAACCTGTTCTGGATTTTCATTGTGATTTTTTTTCTTTCTGTTTTCCAAGAAGCAAAAATAAAGAGTAGTTAAAAGGGTTTTTTTCATACCAAAATAGACCATCAGAGTATAAATTGTTTTTTAATATTCTTTATAATCCATTGCTGAGATTCAAGCCAGAAACTCTTTAGGTTGCTATTATTTGTTTCAATCTGCAGCTTGACAGATTTACATTTTATTTCATGATAAACACCCAGATCCATCCATGCACTGCATTTCACATGTCCTTTTAACTTTGCTTGGCAACACTTTCAGAAAATGCATGATCTCCTTTGACATTAATTAATCTGAGCTAATAAGAACTTTAGTAGTCAAGTCATGATTTTATATGACTGTGCTGAGGAGATTAACCCAATCAAATGTTCTTAGAAACAAAACCACTGTTCCTCATCTTTCTTTGATGTAGATGACAGTCATCATCAGTATGACATCAGGGCTGTATAATTTCAGCTGCCTAAATAGGCCTAATGAATGTGACACTAAATTACTCTGGGATTTTTTATCAGCTCATTCAGTAAATTCTCTTCCCATGTACTCTGAAACACTAAGACAGCAGCTGTAGCTACGTAAGACAAGAAAGTTAATAAACCAAGAGTCAAAAAAAAGTAAATTTTAAATTAATTTTCAAATTACATGCTTAGAATGTCTTAGTAAAACAACCGTGCACTTCAAAATTGCCCAGACTCTGCAGAGATAAAATTTTAAAACCTTTCATTTAACAAATCTTAAAAAAAAAAAAAAAAAAAAGTGATGCATTTGTTGACTTCCCCACCTCAATCCAAGCAGAATTCTCTTGGGCTACCAGGAGGATTGTGCCATGTGAGGTGACTATAGGATCAAACCCTGGTTTGCTACATATTAGGTAATTTGTTTTAAATAAATAATACTCTTGTTGGACTAAGAGAGTTTTCAGGACACTGCGTACAAGATGCATGTATCCTAGCTGACTGGCCAATTTAAGAAGGTTTTCGTATTATTTCTTGTTTAAAGTCAGTGAAGTAAAGCAGATACCTAAGGGCTTTTCAGAAAAAAGTTTGTGCTTAAAGTGCTTAGGAACTGGGGCTCCTAAGATTCAATTCTGCAAAGTGTAGAGTATTTTCACCTCTGAGAGAGCTGATGGATTCACCATCCTCTAGGTCAAGCACAAAGAGTCTTGCTCTATTGGAAATGCTCATTTCTCTTTTCTCTGAGTGTAAAAGCTGTGGTTTCAGTTTTAAGTATGAGTGGAATGTTGCAATGAACATTTTAATTAGCAGATTTCCAGTGACATGTGCAAGTCCTATTCCCGTATTAAAGTCTCATTTTTCCAGGCTAATTCTTTCCTCTTCAGCCATATATGCAGAAAAGTAAAAAATTTATAAGCTAGTTTAATGGCAGCTAACAGGGCTTTGGCTCCAATTTATCAAAACTACTTATATAGTTTTCATAGATATATATGGTAAGTACATGGATAACAAATCTGTGAATCTTAGTCAATGCTAACTAAATGGAGAAATGTAAAATGTTTCATTTTTTAAAGTGACAAGTTACAAAGAATTGAAATACTGAGAAGGTTTTTACCAGTGAACTAAATGCAATGCATTGTACAGCGGGCTTAAATCTTATTTCATCGTGCCCTTAATTTCTTTAGAAGGAAAATAAAATTTGTCTCCTAAAATGAAATATCAAAAATTTGTTAACTGCAAAATTATCTCAGATGGGCAACTGCCTAAATAAATCGAGGTATTTTAAAAATCATTCACTTGACATGCTTACAGTGAAAAAGAATTTAACAACTTGAAGAGCTTTTTATTTTCACAAGGTCTTGATAAAGTCCTAAAAACTATTTCAGTGAATACACACACTGGCAAGCATGGATAGCATGGAAACCACCAAGTAGACCCAGAGTAATAAAACATTTCCTTTGCCTTACAACATTTATTTATGATAGATATATTATTATTGTATAATAAACACTGAAATTGTAATTATTGTCACACCAACGAGAAAGCCAGCCTTGCAGTCACTTAGGCTTAAGCTTCAACTAACACCTGTGAGACCTTTAGAAACCCTAATGATATACAGGTGAGTGAACCCTGAGGGTTATCCTGTAGCCACTGTTAACCCAGACTGTAAGCAGTAAGCCTGCAAGCTTCAGCCTGTTTTCCCAACCTTTTTTTTTTTTTTTTACTTGTTTTCATTCTGTTTTGTTGGCAGCATCACATTGATATAGTGAATCTCAGTGAACAGATGACTACTACTGTCATCTTCCCATCCTTCAAACAGTCACCAGATGGAGGTTAAGAGATAAATTCCTTCCCAGTTTGGATCTGCAGGAGCTTTTTTCCCACCCTGGAACCTGGTGTGTAGTCTGCTTATTAGGACTATCTGGGAACGTTAACATTATTTAATGCCCTGTTGTAAGGGCATTGGAGATACTGCCTGCCTTCCTGTGGAGTTGCTGGAGTTGTGGCTTTTGAGCTTTTTAACATCTTATGTATTTGGCAGGTCTTGGGAAGCGTTCCACAGCCTATGATACTGTGTTGGACAATGAACTTGGATGTTCAGTGGACCTCTGTAGGTTATACATCTATGTTATCAGTTGTGTATTAGGAAATATGGAGGCTACATTCACTTACTAGAGGCTATGGGGTCTGTGTGCAGCTCTGATTCGATCTACTACTTTTGGAAAAGGGCCTGGCTTGGAGTCTTGTTTCTACTATTCACTTTCCCTCAAACAGCACAATATGGACCTGGTATTTCTTATGTATTTACAGTAGGAAAGCTGTAGAAAGCTTCTAACAGTAGGAAAGCTTTCACTGATTCAGGGTCAGATTCTTGTTCTCTGGAAAATATAACATTATGTATCTATAAACAGTCAATATCATAGGCCATAGTTTTCTTTCACAAACACTTGTTTAAATCACTGCAACTCCATTATGTCCAACTAAGCTATTTTTAATGTACAAGAATCGGGCCCTCTGTTTCTACTGTAATTCCAAGTTTTTGTCTACCAAGGTTTTCTGTAAACACTCTTGGAGCAAATTTTACTTCCTGCATTCAATATGTATCTCAGTTCTAAGTCTGTTTACATAAACATTTCATACATCTGATTGCAATCAGAATTGCCAGCTTTTCAAATGGCACTCGCTGTGCTATAATTCTGCTCAGCCTTGCACAGTATTTTTGGCCTGTCAGTTTTTAACTTCATTAATGAATGTTGCTAACTAATTTACTTTATTATTACTGTGTAACTCTGTTTGCCAAAGGTAACTATTCTTCTTCAGCATGCCAAACGTTCCAAGTGCCATCTGTAATTTATAGTTAATAAACACTGAGACAACAGATGACAAATGTCATCCTGGTAATTTTTTTCCTGTTACAGTTTTTCCTGTGGATTTTTTTTATATTTTACTTCCCAGTTCAATTCCATTTTGTCATTTACAATATCACTGAGGATTAACCTAATGCTAGGGAACATTGCCAGAGGTAGTCACCAAACTAGGACTGATTCACAGATGTATAAAGCCAGACTCCCAGCAGGTTACGCAGATTCGGGAATTAATTTGTACTTCTTTTGCCTTCAACAGCAGCAGAGATCAGATGCTGCCAAAATGCGTCTGTGGTCTCAGTTGACAGTGGAGTTACTCTGGGTCTACATGGGTCTACATAAAAATAAGATACAGCCCTTCATTTAAAAACAAAACAATAATAATAAATAAACTGAAAAACAGGAGTGCCAAAAATGAGCTCTGCCAGCTACCGTCTTGTCATCTTTGTTCAGCTAGCTGAAAGCTGAACACAGATACTGTAATCATGTTAAAGAAAAGGGCTGTGAACGAACAACACAATAAGTGGTGTGGGAGGAAATGGGTTACCCTAGTCATTCTTTAATTAGGTGAACACGTGGAAAGTATACAGTGGGGAATGAACCTCATTGCATTTTCCATCTGCCCACTGAGAGGTGACAGAAATGAAAATGGCAGCATAAAGCCAGTTCTGATAAGTTTTCCATTACATTACTGCTCACCTCAAGCTTTTCATTGTGGAATATATAAATGGTTTATTGACGTCACTGATAAATACAATCTCATCCATTTAATGACAAATATCCACAAATTATTATACTGCTCAAAACTATAAAGGAAGACTATCTTGGAAATAAGTAAAGTGCATTTATATAGCCCTGTAACGACATTCAGCACTTCGGAAAATATTGAATAATATAGATAAGCCTATTTAAATAATGCAAAACATTTCACCCTGATGGCAGCTTTTCTAATGTTCATTAAACTGTCAAAAACATTCTTACCAAAACAGAATTTGTTACAATCACTTATCCTCAAAGAATATGGTATCTTCTGCCTTTATATCTTTTTCATTTACTTTTTCTCTTCGCATCTTAAAATGCCTCTTCCTGAAATGACATATGCAAACAAATAAATGGAGCTCTAGTAGTTATATTCACTACTTTAGATATCCTTAACAGACAGTCTTCCTTTACCTTTGGCACTGGAAATGCACCCTTTATTGGTATTGAATGAATTATCACCGTATGTAGACCTGAATCCAGTGTGTATGTGTTGTCTTGTTTCTGCAGACTGTTATTGTAACCCTTTTGGTTCAGTCCATGATCGCTGTAATGACAGAGGATTTTGTGAGTGTAAGGAGGGAACATCAGGGCCTAAATGTGATAAATGTCTGCCGGGATATATCTGGCACAGCTTGGGCTGTCAACGTAAGTAACGCTGAGAGTCGCCCCTCTCCCGCAACTTTGCTGCCTCTACGTCTATATGCTATCACGTGCAGCTCCTTAAGAGCAGAACATGAGCAAAATGCTCTACGAGCTGTGAGGATGCCATACTGCCTGAACCTTGCGGAGACTCCCAGATGAGGACAGTAAATTGACTGTGCTGTCCATTTATTTCAGTATGCTTTCAGTGTCCTCTCTCTTTCTCTAGCTAATGCCTGGAGGAGCTCCCACTGAAATATGTAAATATGTGTGTCTTGCCAACTGTGAAATAAGTTTTTATACTGAAGTATCAGCATATTAACTCCAAATTTAAAATTCTTACTAAAAGACAAAAGGTGATTTATCTGTGTTTGTTTTTTTCTGTACTAAACTTCAGCTTCTTGAGTAACTTAACTATGCTTTCATACCTCAAAACTATGTCCCTGGACAATAAAACTGAAAAACAGTAGCTCATTACCTGTTATAATTAGAGAAAACAAGACAGAATCTAAAAGGTAAAAAAAATTGAGCTATACTTAACATCCTTAAAAATAAGAGCTGAAATTTTGCGTAAACATTGCTGGAGCAGATGTTGTTTCAATGCTTAGTTGTATATTTAGCTTCTCTTCTGGTGAACAGGTCTTGTAAACAAGTGAGTGGAAATACCACATAGGTATATACAGGATTATACTTCTATGCAAATTTCTTTTGTAGTAAATTCTTAAGATTTATTCTTTATAACTGTTCTGATCATCTACTTCCAGAAACTCTGGAGAGTCCTCTCATGTTTTTCTTTCACCTTTTCTACCTCTCTGCATTCTTACACACACATATTAAAGAAATTTCTACGAGAGATTGCTTTTGATTTTGAAGAGTGAGAAACACAAGAGAATGTAATTACTGACACCGATTAGCCAGCTATTATAAAACTGGCCATGTAGCCAATGCTCTAAATACTCTAAAACAAATGCAAATCTTGTAAATTTAAAAACAACAAAAAAAACACACAACAAAAACACACCACAATAAACCAATAAAGCTAGAGGTTACGGCTGCCTCTCCAAGTGATGAGTACCTCTGAAATAGAAAATCTGGGCCTGTGACAATTCAGCAAATATATCTGGAAAGAAAGCCAATAAATAAAGAATTTCAGGAAAGATTGTGATAATTACCCAATTAGCATTAAAGCTAGCACATGAAGAGAAAGGAAGCTTTCATGGGCAATGCAGTTAAACATTACCCAAGAAAATTAGACTTTCTCAGCTTCTGCCAGAAAGCTTCTGTTTAAATTTGTCAGGTTATTTAAGCAGTACTTTTCACATGTGGTTGTTAACTGTATTCTCATTTTATGGATGCTTGCACTTGACTTTTGATTCACAAAATTATTGAGCACTTACAGTTGCAGCAGAAAGCAGGTGAAGTAGTGTTTCAGATATCAGAGTTCTCTATTTTAATATTGTGAAAAATCAGATCCTAGGTATCTCAAAAAAAGCACTCGGAAATCATAAGATCTCTCTCTGCCTTGCACCCTGTATGTAGGAGGAGGTTGTCACCACCCCTGTACCTGACCCTAGGTACTGGCAAAATAAACGTTAGAATTTGTAAGCATTGAGATAATTGTAGTGACAGGAATCACAGGGGGAAAAATGAAAAAGGAAATCAGTATGATTCTCTGCAGTAGAATTTTACTAGAGTACAGTAAACGCCATGTCCACACAGTGAGTCTAAAAAAGATACTAAGTAGCTGAGATACCGAACAGGTCTGGAGGTCTGTGGAGCAAATTTTACAATCATATAATTAATATAATAATATATGTCCCAGCTTGTCAAACCAATGGCTTATTAAATGCAGTATTTCCTGTCTTTTCAGGTTTGGACATTATAACCCCAATAATGTTCTTTTAATGAGGATTTTTTGAGCCCGACATATAATTAGCCTGATTTTAGCTGAATCAGAGTATTTGTAAAAGCTTTAGACAGTTTCTGGAAATGCAAGCTAGTGCCTTTATATTTGCTGACAAAACTAATTAAGTTTCCATCACTGTGTTGTAATTTTCTGAACAAATCTCAGTCTGATTCTGTTAGATATTCTCCAAGTTTGGCCAAATTATCTAATCAAATTTAGAAGAAAAACAACTAGATGTGGTTGTCAGTGTTATGGAACAGACATCAAATTGCCGTGTTTTACCAAGCACACACTGATTTAAATCTCATTTCAAGTCTTTTCGTGGAGGAACAGAATTCCAATTCATTTAATTTTGTAGTGTGGCAGTTTGAGCAAAGCTCAAAAAGATTCTTTGTCTGGACATGAAGCATGTGGTTTTGATCTGTTTCGCTGAGCTTATGCTGTACAAAAAGGTGTGTATGCAAAGATGGATACACGCACAGACTCAACAGATGAGTATGTATGTGTTTTCTTTTTGTTATACATAGCCTATTGGCATTATTAAGAAAATATTCTCATGGAGCTTTGTTGCTAAAAATCATTGATGTAAGGCAAACAGAAGCTTGACCTATAAATAAGTTAAATCTATACCATAGCAAGTATTGTATGATTGTAGTAGTAAATGTAGTGGCTTAGTTTCATCTATTAGCTATCCTATTGAAGAAAATCCAGCGCTAAAGTTTTGTGGTGTGTTCTAAGGCTCACAATATATCATTTAATAAATTACTGTTCATAGTCTGCCTTGTACTATACATGGCCAAAAGACACAGAAGCTGTTATCCTCAGAAGTATTCATTTAGGTACCTCACTCTTACTGATTTCATCTAAAACCTTTGAGGATCTAGGCAAAGCGTTCATCACTTGTGTCTGTGAACATACAGAGGTCAGATGCAATTTTAGACTTTGCCTCCCAGATAAAAAGCACTGTGATAACAGCTGATATCTTATTGAATTCAAGGTTTATGCTGTATAGACATAGCGGTCAGCAGGGTCTGGTTGGTGCAGGAAGGTTTGCTGCCATCAGAAAAAGAGGCACAATAGATGCGATTGTGCCTTGCGCTACTTCTAAGCCCTCCCCCAAAACCATTCATGCTGCAGGCATTGTGCGTGCGGGGAAGCTGCTGGGGTTTAGCTCTCTGCCTCCCTCCCAGATACTAACAATGGTTTTCTCACCAGCATGCATACATAGATCAAAGCACAAGGAATTAAGAACAGAACAGTCTGCTCCTGAAACCCTTTTAGAATTCCAGAAACATGAGAAAATACGTAGCTGTATTACATTTTTCTGTTTTACAGAAATTAAATTATTTCCTTCAAAAATGAACATAGAAGAAAAAACTACAAACCTGGCAAGAAATGTAACCAGCAACTACAGCTGTTTTGGGTCTTAATCTTAACATAGTGCTTTGTGATAAGAGGAACCTGTGACAAATGGTAGAAACATTTACACACGAAGGAACTGCCTGTTTAAAAAAAAAATAGATGAAGGCAAATTATTAAGTGGGAGCATTCATTTGATTTTCTAAGAGTGCTGCTTATAGTCTTGCATCTTTTGTATTTCTCAGCCATGACATTTCAGGTGACTAAGTTCTGTTGTGTACATACAGGAGCATTTTAAAATAACACCTTTTAATTTCATGCACATAAGAGCTTATCCCAAAACCAGCTGCATTATTTATCCAATAAGGCAAAGAAAGAGTGACTCATTTGCTAATACCAGTTTACCAGCACAGCTCAAATTTTCATTAGGCATGATCACCCTACAAGGGAAAAGGTGAGGGAAATTCCAATGGTTAATATAATTCACTATATCCCTTTATATAGTCAGTAAGCAAATAAAGATGTGGAACCTGCAGTCCCACAAAGGCCTAGACTGAGTACAAGAGTTATCAGTGGTCACTTAGACCTGAGTTAAATTTAGTACATTATTGTGAACCACTGTTTTAAACCATCTTGGTTCAGTGGTGTAAATCTTAAACAATTAGCAAATGAGTTTTCAGCCAGATGCCTTATGTCAAGCTCTGAATAGTTTATTTTATTTTACGCTTTTTCATTCATTTTAAATAGTTTTCATTAAAGCAGGCAGAGGATTACACTCGTCTTCAATGCTCAGACCGTGCTCAGTGCTTGTATCTGTCTTCCAGACTGAACTTGTATTACTCTGCAGGTTGTTAGATAATTCATGTTCTGTCACAGTGTGCATTCAGCTTATTATAGGATTATTTAAATATAAGCTTTTTTGTGTACATTTTATCATGCATTACAAATTTTAGAAGCCAAGGCATTTGATCAAAATCATCACACAGAAGCAAATCAAACCTGAAATTGTAACCTTGGAACTTGTATTAACATTTGCTTTTGGAAGTTTGTGTTTACAACTAAGCAAGAAAAGATATGTTACCATCCATGTCTTTAAAAAAAAAAGAAGGAAAATAAAATAAAAAGAAAAAAACTTTCTTGAAAGTATACATCATGTACTTCTTTCTAGACAGATTAAATACATGAATGTAACTGTCTTCCCCATTGAAGGTTAGTGATCTTTTATGCGTGTTTGTACACAGATGTATCCTGTGAGTCCTTCAATCCCTACACACAGAAGTTGTGCCTGGGGAACTATGTTCTGTAAAAAGAAATAGAAATTCAGAACCAGGATGCCCTGCCTTCCAGTTCGCCTTTGCAACTGCCTGGGTGGGGAGCTGTAGACAACCTATATATTTTTATATCTTTTTCCATCTTTTTCCCAGTAGCAGTTTTAATGTTTTTGGGTGGTCACGATACATTGGGATTTCCTCTCTGCAGACGTGCTATGTACTTCCAGTTCTGGTGTGTTTTGGTGCCAGGACTGATGCTAGTAAGCATGCTGCCATGCTTGGAGCTGAAGGGAAGTAAAACATAGAATTTATTGAAAAGGATAAAGTTCTGATGGAGCTGAACATCACTGCCCCCAAGGAACAATCTGCCTCTGGTCTTTGTAGACAAAATACTGATTTTGCAATACCTATCTCACATGGCTGTTATGCAGACTAAAGAAATTGTGTGTGTGTAGGGGTTTTAATGTAAG